CAGATCGGAAGGAATTGAAGAAATGAATCTGATAGCGTAAAGGAGTCCAAATTCAGCATTAAATGCCAAATACGTTGAGAGAATTTGTATTTAGTAGGAATCATTGAGTAACGTTTCTTTTAATGTCATTTATTGCTCATAATTGCCTCATTGAGACAAAGGCATTACACTTTCTCCTAGAATTAACTATAAAAGGGGAAGGTCTCAACATCTGCAGGACACGAAATATCATTGAGATTATACTGAAATATATACTTATTCATTGCTTTATTATTGTTCTCAAAGTCTCTCATTTCTTGATTATCAATAACCCGATTTCTCTCTTAATTTCTAGCTTTAACCAAATATTCAGTTTTTTGGTTAAACAAATTGGTTCCGTTACCGGGAATCCGATAATCTATTCTTTTTAAGTTACATTTTATCTGTTGTTATCATCATGTCAAACAACAACAACAACAATAACGGTGATGAAAATCAAATCCATCAGAATCAAGGAGATTTACAAAACATTAACGTGGTTCCTTCCCCTCAAAATTCACCACGTCAATCTCGTGAAGGTACTCCTGCTCCTGAATCTCGTGCTGATGAACAAGAGCAATCTGAACATTTTGAAGGGCCAAATGAAGCTTTACAAAAAGTAATTGATGCACGGGTTAGCAAAGCTCTTCAAGCTCTAGTTAGTCGATTACCTGTTGCACCACCCACACCTACGCCTAATAACAATACATTGGAGAATCCTCGTTCTGGCCTTGTTAATTCTGGAAATGGAGGAACCCCCAGTGAACCACAGGAAGGAGAACCAGGTAATTCAAATAATTCTCATTTGCAAAATTTAGTACTAACTTTGCAGAAANNNNCACAATGATCACGGGCACAAGACTTCAGAATGTAGATTCTTACAAAGTGAAGTGGACCATCTGTTGAAACAAGGGTATCTCACTGAGTTATTTAGTGAGAAAGGTAAGCAAGCCTATATGAAAAATAGGCAAGAGCCACCAAAGCCCCCATCACCCAAGAGAACCGTGAATGTTATAAGTGGATGAGAAGATATTCATGGTGTAACATATACGGCCTCCAACAAGGTTTCTAAAGTAACGATTACACATGGGAAACAGGTACGGCAAGTGTTTGAAAACGAAAATATTTCTTTCGATGATGCAGATACCGAAGGAGTGATGACCCCCCACAACGACGCTCTGGTAATATCTTTACTTGTACACGACACTAATGTAAAACGAGTTTTGATTGATCCAGGAAGTTCCGTAAATATTATACTACTAAGGGTATTAAGTGAAATGCAAGCTGAAGACAAAATGATACCGAAGGCGCATACCTTGTCCGGGTTCGACAATTCAAGTGTGGTAACAAAAGGAGAGGTAATTCTAACAACTTTTGCTGCAGGTGTTGTTAAAGAAACTAAATTTCAGGTAGTAGATATGGAAATGGCTTACAATATGATCATGGGGAGACCTTGGATCCATGATATGGATGCTATCCCGTCAACTCTACATCAAGTTATTAAATTCCCATCACCGTGGGGGATTTGCCAAATTCGTGGGGATCAGCAGACAGCCAGGAGTATTAACGCTGTAACAGATACGAGCACCGTAAATAAAGAAAAATAGCAATTACAGGAAACAGTTGAAGGTCAAACCTCAGCTGAGCAAGGACGGACAGATGTAGACTCAAGACCTGACACAATTCAAGAGCCTGAAGAGAATGAAAATATCAAAACAACAATTGAAGAACTCGAAGCTATGATATTATTTGAGCAATGGCCTGAACGGAAAATTTATGTTGGAGCCAATCTAAGCTCCGACATGCGAGGTATGTTAATTGAATTTCTGAAAGCTAACGTGGATTGTTTTGCTTGGTCCTATGCTGATATGACAGGAATACCACCGGATGTGATGACTCACAAACTAAATGAAGACCCATCATTCACACTAATAAAGCAAAAGAAAAGAAAGCAAGGAGCTTTCAAAAACCAGGTGATTCAAGATGAGGTCCAAAAGTTATTAAAAATTGGGTCTATCCGTGAGGTAAAGTATCCAAATTGGTTAGCTAATACAGTTGTAGTACCTAAGAAAAATGGTAAGTGGCGAGTTTGTGTAGATTATACAGATCTTAACAAAGCTTGTCCAAAAGATTCTTTCCCTTTACCGCATATAGATCAGTTAATTGATGCAACTGCAGGGCATGAACTTCTAAGTTTTTTAGATGCATATTCGGGTTACAACCAAATCAAAATGGATTCAAGTGATGAAGAGAAAACTTCTTCTGTCACAGACAGGGGGACTTACTGTTATAAAGTAATGCCCTTTGGTCTCAAAAATGCTGGAGCAACCTATCAAAGGTTGGTCACGAAAATGTTCCAGGAACATTTATGTAAAACCATGGAGGTATATATAGACGATATGCTCGTCAAAACCCAGTATTCTCATGATCACATCTCTCATTTATCTGTCACATTTCAAATTTTACGAAAGTTTAATATGAAACTCAAATCCAGAAAAATGCGCATTTGGGGTCGCATCAGGTAAAGTTTTTGGG